CGCACCTCCCACACTCGCGACGTTCGTCGGATAACGCGTCTGCAGCTCGCCATCGTCCATGCTCGACGGGGCGACTGCGCTCGCTCGGGGGAGGCTCATCGTCGCGCACGCCGTATGAGTCTTTGTATCCCAGGTAAGCACCTCCCACGACGCCACGGGGTGCACCCCCTGGGGGTGTCATCCTTCTTCCCGCCGCGTCGTTATGCATGTCCGCCCGCTCGCACTCCAAGCCTGTAATTGTCTTGACCAATGAATACATGCATTATTTTTTAAAAATTATGTCTGACTCGACCTGGGCTTGACAAGAAGGCCTCGAAGTAAGGCTCGCCAGGGACGCACGCTGCGGCCTGAGGACTTGTTTCAATTTGTATTTCTTCCTGAGCGGCATCTTTGATGGATGTGATCCGGTGCCGCTCTTGCCGACATCAAATTACCGAATTCGGAACTCACGTGGAGGCGGAATTGAAACAACTCGTTTGACACACGTCGGGTACAGTCGGCCCGGTCGAAGATGCACGTGAAGTCACGTTTCCCTCACGTCAAATCGGAGTACGGTATGACACCTGCTGAATCAGACTCCATACTGGAATTATATCGACTGTCATATAATTCCGTGGAGTCTGACTACGGGAGACTAGCAATGACTTAGGATTGGGCCTCTTCGAGGCAGGTGCTGAACCTTTAGGTTCAACTTACTTGTCAATTTTCAACAATTGGGCTGGATAGGCATCAAAGTACTTCGATAATCAAGCTGCTTCAGATTGTGATAAGTATGGAACTGCTATAGACCGCTGATTGGTCTGTACTTCTTATTTCTGGCTATCATTTCTTCCTTCCCCTCCGGAATTTCCGGGATAGCTACATGCACTATACTTAGTGCGGCCGGATTGGCAATGGAGTGTCAATCTGACATCACAACAGATGGGAATTTGCACTGGAGCACAGGAGAGCAGAATCCTCGCTATAGGGCCGGCTACTCTGTTGCACCAATCTATGCAGAGCTCATTGCCAGCGCAGTAAATTTATGAAACAAATACTTCGGCAAGCAGTTCTTGATTGACGAAAGGATCACGAAGGATCATTGGTCCATGCAAACGGGATCCATCCAAGTGAAAATTCAACAGAAAATTCTCCCCCTTCTTGGTATCTGCACAATTCAATAGGGATGAATTGTGGAGACTGTATCTTTCTCCAGTTGAGATTTATCTAGTTGCCAATCAGAGACGATAGCAGTAACTGTGTCTGCTAGCAGCGGGCCAGTGGCAACTCAAAAGGTGAGAACTATTCTCTTTCATTTATGTATATATTCTCATTATTTCTGAGTTCCTGATTCAACTGAGTAATAGAACCTACTACACCACCAATTTAGTCGGAGCTCCCCGGGAGCTCTGAGCTACCATATCGGGACTCATAAGCGAAGAGATCCGAGGGGAGCTCGCCAGGATATCAAAACAGGCAATCCCCGGAGTATTCTGGGATCCAGTATCCCTGCGACATCCCGGCGTGAGCTTTTGAAGTTCTCTTCCGATCCCATTTTATTCCTTTCATTGCAGATAAAATAGCCAAAATATGAATTTATTCACCATATGTACATAAAACACTGTAAGTGTGAAATACATAAGTAGGAGAATAATAACCAAGTACGAGAATGGGCGAGAGCTTGATTGGACGACTTAGATTTGATTGTGGAAAAACTTGCAGACCAAAGATGTTGACAGTCTTGAGCTTGAGCAGATATCCAAAGGGAAGGTAGCAACAGGTGTTTGGATTTGAAGGGAGACTTGAGGTGATTGAAGGGAACTTGAAAGACGACAGACAAGAAGAAAACGGTCTTTCTCTGAGTCTTGACACCAGATGTGAGCTTGAGGGCTTGATGTATAGGTTAAAAGACTTGAAGCAGTCCTTGCAGTGCTGCTGAAGCAGGGTTTGAGAGTTGAGGAGAGGTTACGGCGAAGGCGATGGACGGAGGAGAGGGAAGTGTGCTGGCAAAGTTGGGTCCAGTTTGTTGATTGATCATCAACAGTACATACGTGCACGGACCTCTGCACCGAAAATGTGAAAGAGATTGTTTACGCATCGTGGATCTCCGCTTTTTGCATCAGGTGTATGAGAGATGTACAGATATAGTGTGGCAAGTCTAAACGGGGCCAAAGTATACAATGATGTCCTCTTCTCAAAACCTCTCGAACGGGAGATCACAGAATGAATCTCGAGATCCCCAGATTTTGTTGGACTTCCTCCGATATCCGATGTCAAGGCTCCCATTGATATCTGACCAAATTGGGGGTGTAGTGCAGCTCTGAAACTAAAAAGGAAACACAACAAGACCTGAATGAGGGTTTTTGCTGACAGGACTCGGAGTACAGGCACTTCAAAAAGAAATCAAACATTGGGAACCTGGTAGTGTTTACGAGGCGGAATACTTCAAGTCCAAATTAGATACATCGACCAAGATGCCTGAGGAATATTATTACTGACCTGCTGCAATATATTACTTGATTTTTAGGCTCTGAAACTTGTCTTTCAACAAACATCTTGCAGCAGGATACATCAGACATTCAAAACAATATTTCTTGGTTGCACAAACTTGAAACATCAAGCCACAACCATTTGGGGGTGAACACAAAGCAAAAATGACAAAGCCGCAGAAAGCGGGCCATTTGGAAGCAGAAATGACTAATCACAGAAATCGTAACTTGGTCCAAAAATATTTGGATCTGGAGTACAGCGCCAGTTGAGGCAACCAAAATGTACACTTCAATAGGATGAAATATCTGAGAGCTGTAAATTTGAATATTTTGAACAGAATGCCTTTCACTCAATTTTTCTTTCCATTTTTGACATGACCAATTTTGCATGAGTAATTTTTGTTTGTACATGTAGCAAAATGGCCCGGAATCCAAGTTCCCCAGGGTAGCCAAACCTAAAGGTTCAGCAATGATGGTGTTCAACTCAAAATGTACACGAAATCCATTGCGGCTTTGCACAAGAGCCAAAAGCCACATGCGGCTGGTGCGCATCCTGTCTATTTAATTTTGCCCACGTCTATGAAATCGAACTTATTCTACTATTTATAAAAGAACGCCTGTCTGTCCGAAGCCTTTAAGCTCCGACAGGAAATCGCCGAGGGTTGCCGCCGAAGAACGGCATCGACATTGGACAGCCGCTACGACGCAACGAATTTAGCAGCTTCAAGCCTTTCAAAAGCCGATTTCCAAATTCCAGCACTCAAGACAAAGTGCCAGGGCGCTTCGCGCCCCGGCGCGCTCTTGTTCAACTTAATACTGCATGCAGTCACATGTTCCAACTTCTATTACGTCCCCATCATCTTGACGACATCCTTGTCCTCTACTTCCATCCCCTCGTCTCCTACCATGCAAAGCCCCATCTTGACGATTCCCGCCGAGCTAACCGCCCGGATCTTCGAAGACATGCGCTTGGATGTCCTCAGGACCGACCGTCGCATCCGCCCCTCCACCAACACACCCCCTCTCGTCTTTACCCGAGTTTGCAAGGATTGGAGAGCAATTGCGCTGGGTACGGGGTCCTTATGGAGCTGCATCGACTTATACATTGGAAACCCGTCGATGGAACTCAGAGACACAGTACATCGCGTTTTGGCGACGTGGTCTGAACGTGCGCGCGGCTGCCCGCTTTCTTGGACACTGCGGGGATGTTCAACGCTACCTCCGATGCTCCCCGAAGCGGTTGCGCAGCTCCATCGGCTCGAGATGGACGTTTTCATGACGAACAACTTGCTACCCAGTGCGATCGGTGGGATCGCGACCGGTTTTCCGCAACTACGGGAATTGGCATTCCATGTTATGGATCCAAAGGATATGTCGGTGACAGTCCCCCAAATTCTTGCATCTGCGCCAATGCTCGAGGCGATATCACTCTCCTTCTCCGCCCCGGCCACTTTTACCGGCGCTACAACGCCCAGGTTGACGATTTTGAAAGTCGACGAGATTACGGTCTCCGTACTCCGCGCGTTGTTCCAGAACTGTCCTATGCTCACACACTTGCATATCACCGATATCCTCGCCGAAACTTCTTCTCCGCCGACTGCACCTCTGACCGCGACAAACCTCCAAACAGTCGTTATCCCCTCTGATGCGGCAGCGGACGAGACGATCCTGCAACTCGCCCATTTCTCATTTCCGAGCTTAAAATGCTTGCGACTACCATACACTCCACATCTCCATGTCGTCTCTGAGTTGTTCCGCCGCTCTGCCTGTGCGGTAGACACTCTGTCCGTCAACATTTCGAGTATAGGAGACGCCCTCGAGTTGCAGACAATGTACAGCCGGATGCCATCTATCACAACATTGGAGATCCGGCGCTGGGAACGCCCTGATAATCCGACAGTGACGCCGCTTCCAGAAGCGGTATTTGACCTTTCAGTCCCTGGCGTGCTACCCAGACTCCGACACCTCACTATTCACATCGGCGGCATCAAGGAGCACAGGTATAATGTGCCTTATACCGGCGTCATTTTGCTTCTTAATGCAAGGAGCGGCCCCAACAGCGCCTTCCGTTCATTCCGTCTGGATGTCAAGCCTGCCCAGCCCATTCATTTCCATCGGCCCATTCATTTCCATCGGCCCATTCATTTCCATGAAAGCTATACACCCCCTGCAACCTTCTTGTCGCAAATTGAGAAGTTGGCGCAACAAACGGAGATTCACATCATCAATGGGGGATATCGTTGGTTGGGTGGTATGTCTGTTCGTTCAGTATCTGAGGTAACCACTGATTCAGTGCTGCAGGCATCAAGGTTAAGGCTACAGATAAGCCGGAGCGGCGCGAAGAATGGTTGAATCCGTATTGGCATTGGATCCCGTAATCATGCGCATACACTTTTCTTGCTGTAAAATTTTTTGTGCAGACGAAGAAGCGTAGCCTAGAAAATTGAAACGTTATTTGCTTTTTTCACGGATTTACCGTTTATCTGCCAGGTTCCACAGGAAAATAAAAAGCACCACAAAAATACCACTGTTGCCACAGGCGAGGACTCGAACCTCGGTCACCCACGATATCATAAAATGAAAGGTAGGCATCGTAACCACTAGACCACCCGTGACGGCTGTCTCGTTCGAGAATGATTAATGGATCAACTGGAGCGAGACTGCGGCTTTGTGCCGAGAGTATCAAATATTTAAATATCTGGACGGAAACGTCACATGAAAATAATCAAGACACGAAACCTTTATTCACTGTTCAATACCATCCTTAATTTCCGGGCTCGGTAGATATTTGAATGTTCTTGTTTCTACTTCATCAAAATTCAACCCCGCGCAGATCGCCGTAAGTGATTTCCGTCACAATCAGTCACGCCTAGCTCGATTCTAACCCGAACCACCATGTTCCTTTACGAGGTGCGCTTCATCTGCAGGAGACGGGCGCAAATGACCATCTTTTCAGACGGTCCCCGGTATATTCTTACAAGACGCCCCTCTCGCGGATCCCATTACTATCGGGCCCGTCAGTCATCGCCCCACTAACACTACCGCCAATGATTCCTGATCTCAACCCGATATCGCCCAAGGTCCCCCCCCGATTCGGCCTGCTAGAATCCTCCGAGACGCGGTGGTCCACCCTCAGCACGAAACTCCGCGAACTGAACGCTACCGCTCCCGGGAACTCGCTATATAAATTGATCTTCTTCGGGAGACATGGACAGGGGTACCGTGCGTCTTGCCCTGGGCGTTTTGGATTCCGTTTCAAAAAACATCATTATCGCGACAGATAACATTGCTGAAGAGAAGTACGGTACCAAGGCGTGGGACGAGTTTGTTTTTCCCCCTCCTTACATATACAGAATTTTTGGGTAGCTGATCGCGCACAGCTACTGGTCGAAGCTCAATGGCGATGGGGAGCTTACCTGGGGTCGTGCGTCCCTTTCCGTTGTCCAAACACATGCATCCGCTCACGCGCCGTGGTACTTGATATACGCAGCGGACCCGGAGCTGACGAATATAGGGAAAGCGCAGGCTGTGGCAGCGAACAAGGTGTGGGCGACGGAGATGGCGGCGGGGATCCCCCTCCCGCAGAAGATGTACTGCAGCCCGATGACGCGCGCGCTGGACACGCACGTCATCTCGTTCCACGGCGTCTCGAGCACGCGTGTGGTCGTCGTCGAGGTACGCTGCGGCTGACTTCGTTTTCCATCTTCATGATGGCGGCCGATAATAATAACAATAGAACTGCCGCGAGGAGTACGGCGAGCACACTTGCGACCAGCGCAGGACGCGCACCTACATTACGACGGCGTTCCCCCAGTTCGACATCGAGCGCGGGTTCACGGAGGAGGACGAGCTTTGGACGACGGAGCGGGAGACTAAGGACCATGCCGCCGCACGTGCGCGGACGGTCCTGGATCGGATTTTTCGGGACGACAAGGACGTGACCTGTACGTGCTTATTTTCGATTCCGTTGGTGGGAATATTATACTGACCTGGATGCAGTCGTGTCGATCACAGCGCACGGAGGCATCATCAACGGTTTCTTGCGTACGCTGGGGCGCCCGAAATATGCGCTCCCGACTGGAGGTACGCAATCAATGGCTTTCGTTTGAATGATGTATTGAATCCGGCGTGCTTCTCATTCTTCCACAGGCGTCTTGCCCGTCATCGTCAAAGCCACGGCTTCCCTCGATAATTGACTGGACCTCCACGTAACCATTGTCTTAGATCAATGGATTAGAATGAGATCATCGAAGATGGGTTTAGAATGTAGTTCTCGTATTTGTATCAATCTGCATACATTCACTGACTGAATCTCCCGCGTTTTCCAGATTCTGGTGCATTCCTTTTCGTAAGATATAGATGGGCCGTTAGGAATGAATTATTCACTTGAATCCAATCGCAGTCCAACCAGAGGCTGAATTCGAGGGGGGGTAGGCTGAACAACGAGGTAATAATACAAGTTACAAACTACAACACAATTCCAGGTATTCAACCTAAACCTCCTAGAACAATACAAGAAGAGACAAATCCGTCATGGGATTATTTGAGTAGGTTCCAGTGTGCAGCCCCCTCACGTTGCCAGTATCGATTATCTGTGCACCCAGGACCTTGTGAGTGCACCCTTCCACGCGGTCGCCAAAAAGAGTTGCTTACGCAGTCGGCACATCACTAACGTTGGGCAGCTTTGACCCCACGCCATTAATGTTTCTGCGTCGCTGCTGGTCGTGTGCTGCACACGGATCTCAGTCTCCGTGTTGTACACAGGTTTATCGAGCTCCAATGTGGTCAAGTGCTTGAATGCCTCCAGCGATTCCTCAATCCATTGCACAGCCTCCTGAGAAGACAGTTGGGCATACATGCTTACAGCTGTTTCCGAAAACCTTGAGACAACGTGAAATTTTTTGCACGCAACAAACTTTGATGGCAAGCTAAGGATTACCGGATTTGGCACGGATGATCCCACACGGATCAGCCCACATTTCGTGATGGACCAAGCGAAGTCCAATTTTCGTGTCAATAATATGTTCCCGGGGCATCTGAGTTGCATGTGAGGCTCATAAGACTCCGAGAAAGCATCAGCTGGGTGTCATGAGGGGAGGAGCTCACCCATGAAATATTATCTGGGCGGCAACCCGATTACGCACAAGCGACGGCAATCTCGGCTGGACATCCCAAACCGGTAATCCTTAGCCTGCCATCAAAGTTTTGTGCGCGCAAAAAATTTCATGTTGTCTCAAGCTTTTCGGAAACAGCTGTAAGACAGAAATCCAAGGCGCTCGACGCACCGAAGTCAAGGGGCGCTGGCGTCCCATGAACGGACCAAGCTCGATACTGTATAGATTTGGGAGGTCGATTGCCAGGAGCGGCAGGATCTCTGTGCCAAACTCCAGCCTGTCGGAGAGGATCCGCAGCGAGAACGGGATCTTCGCAGACGTGGCGGCTGCGAGGGCTCTGAGTAGGTCCTGGACGCTTGTCCCGTACGGGATATCCCAGAAGGACGCGTGTGCAAGTCGCCGAAAGTTGATGGCGATGCGCTCGAAGTACGACGCAGAGCCGCGGTACGACTCGAGGCGCGGTAGAAAGATGTGGTGGCGCCTCTTCGGTCGTTCACTGTAGCCCCAGGGTCGGATGATCTCGAGGTGGGTAAGTGCTGTGTGGCGCTCGAGGAAGCTGACGAGGGTTTCGTCACGGGGTTCCTCAGGTTGGTGGCAGCCGAAACGTCGGAGACTGGGCAACGTCAGTGTGCCGAGCGCATCGAAAAGGTTATCGTCGTAGCTGGGGATCCAGAGGTGCAGGTGCTCGAGCCGGTGCATAGCGCGGAGTCCCAACTGGAGCCAGGGAATCAGATCCAGTGCGTCCTCCTCGCTGCATTCCAGAGAATGGTCAGTGGTTTTCCGGCGGAAAAGTTCCCATGCATGTTTATACAGTTTAGCGCCACTCACCCATTTCCTGCGACAGGGGAGACCACGAAGCTGCGCACGCAGTGGGCAAGTGCGATACGTCTCCTGAGCACTGTCTGACAACAGTGTTTGGTCATCTTGAGGCTTCCCAGAGTTATGTGCTTGTAGAGGACGGGGACAGCGATATCGTTAAAGCGCCAGCATACGAGACACATCTGTGCTTGTTCGAACGGGGTGGCTAGATCCAAAAGTATGTGGTGGATAATCTCCGTCGGGAGGGCAGGCATTATGTGCAAGAGGAGAAGGGGTCAGGTCTGTGGGGGTCGCTGCCTGAGAAGGAGATCTTCCATTGCAGTGTCAGTGACTGTTTGTCACTCAGGCTGTTGAGATCAAGACACACGGATCAACGATACGCGTATTTTTGACGCGGTGACGTAGATCCAGCGATTAGATGGTGATGGTAGCCAGTGCCGGTATTTATTTTTTTGCCAATGCCAGAGTGTCGAATTTCAGTGTTCACTCAATTCGACAGGGGTAGTGACGCGTGACATTTCAACCGGTTCGACAAATTCGACGTGACAGAACCATTGAACAAAGTGCCAAATATCTCAACTAGTCGGGCAGCAGGTTAGGACATATTGCTGCAGCCGAACAGTGTCCTTAATGTGGATTCAAGTATCTCCTGAATGGATTTGTGCGACATCTTCTATTGAAAACAGCGAAATAAGGATAAATGTCTTCAAAATGACCTTCAATACACATTTTTACTTGAAAAAATAGCGATCTTGAAACATTTTCTAAAATTTTGCGAACCATGGTACGTTTTTTTTTTAAGTCCGTGTCGTCTTTCAATCACGAGAATAAATTAGTAGGTAGCGCTACCAATTTATTCTCCCATCCCCGCAGGCGACCGCTGGGAGAGAAATTCGCGTTTAAGTCAACGCGTACGGAGTGACAGCTACACGTGATCGCGACTGATGTTTAAATGATCCGTTAAAGTCGGAGCCGGTCTCCACTGAATCTCCACCACTACGCGTCAACTCGATGAATGTGGAACGAAGACAACGTTTTATGCGCTTTCATATACTCCAACCAAGCTCAAGTGTAAGCTTGGTCAAAACTGCGGTATATTCAAGGGAATTGACTGGTGTGTTTTTGCTTGGTTTGTCCTCGTCTTAGTCCCTCCTGTAGTCAAAGGTCGTCTTAATATTGGACTTGCCAGGTCTACAACGTGTCACCATCATCGGGAAATTTCTTGGCTCGCCTTTTAAAAAACTCGAATATCAAGTAAAGGATATAAAATTCTGGTTGATCTGGCCGTCGTATTTCCTACTATTCCGCTAAATCCACACGGCACTGTGTCACCGATTCGAGAAGAAGAAGATTGGTGGAAAACGATGAATGTTCTCGGCCGTGTCTCATGATGTTCCCAATTTGGATCGTACTCTCGCCTCATTCCAGACTCTCGTGTCGACCAGCTCGAGGTCCTCGCGCTGGCTCTCTGAATGTATAAAAGTTCGCTGGTCTAACTATTTACGCCAGGTCTCTACTTATGCCCACTTACACCATTCCCAAGATCCAAACGGCGGCTGTTGTCCCAACAAGCGGCGCTGCCGTTGAAATCAGACATGACTATCCAGTTAAAAGTCAGGCTAAGTTAGCGCCGGGAGAATGCCTCGTCAAACTCGCATGCACTGGGGTATTGTCGTATCATC